GTGTATGTGCCACCCGGCATACCTGGGGACTTGAAGGGCAGCCTCCCACCTAATAAACAACTTAATTATTGCCTAACAAAGCCTGGCAGGTGAGATAGGTGGGCAGACTGCCCAAAACAGGTGGGTAGGCCAACACAGAGGTTGGCCTCAGGATGGTCCCCAGTCACAAAGACTAACGGGTAAAGTACAGGTGACAGAACTCCATTTTGACTGCATTGTGCACTGTGCTCCATTGTTCACTGACTTCAGAAAATTATTCTGTCTTTACAAGTGGTATAGAAAATAGCAGGGGCATGAAAGGGAAATAAATAAGGAAAAGAAACAGCATTTTTACAGACATCTGTATAAAGCAAGCAGGTAATATTTACATCTAGTAACCAGGTTTGTAAGGGAGGGAAAAGGGACAACAGTATTGAAAGACGGGTATGAAGTAATTCTTTTTTATTTTAACTAATAAGAAACCAAATAATGCTTCAGTAAATAGTGATACAGCAAACTAAGTCACCTGTAGCTTACATTTATGTAGATGTTTAAATTTATAAACTGTTGCTAAAAAGATGTTGTCTTGTGTTGAAAAATATCTACCCTAGTCAGGAGTGGAAGTACTAGCAATTTTTGTTATAAAACTGCTTTGCTAATAGCATTTCTTTAGAGCTGTGATGTGTTAGACCTGGGATAGGCTTAAAAAATGCTTAGCCACAGTATTTCCAGTGGTATTTTTCCTTTTTGTGGGAGGAAGGGGTTCCCCACCTCTAGAGGGAAGAAAAAAGAAAAGCTTTCAGAAAAATAATCAGAACAAGATTGCCAATTGTCCATAATTTTCTTATGGGCAGGCCATAAAAAAGGCTAAAAAATGTTTGTCCATGAAAGCTCAATTTTTTTTTTTTTTTTAAATAGATATCTGGGGGGAAAAAAAAACAACCAAAAACCAAAAAAAAAACCTAAGAAACCATGAGTTTGATAGAAGAGGCTACATGCAAGTGTTGATGAACAGACAGAGCAAAGTACCACCACATTGTGACTGAGTGAGAGCAGATCAGCATCCTGTAGGGAGCTCTCTATCAGGGCTTTGTGGCCCACAGGAGCCTCCATAGCCTCTCCCTGCCCTAGCCACATGCCACTATATCCCACTGGATGTCACCTGCCTGTAACAGCTGCTTGTCTCAAAGGTAGGCAGGGTGTACAGCTCTGGGAAGTCCAAGGCACTGGGTAGGATAGGGACAGGGGTGGTACAGCTGCATTCCTTAGCTGTGCCCCTCTGACGTTAGGAGTGCTGCACCTCTCCGGCACTATGGGCTTGCCCAACCCTGTACCTGCACCCCTCTGGTGCTCTGGGCTCATTGAGTCCTTCTGGCTGTGCCCTCCTGGTACGCTGGGCTCACTGCACCCTTCTAGCCATGTCCCCCTGGAGCACTGCCTGACACCAGGCTCTACCAAATCATATGCCCTAGGTCACGCGTC